CAAAAAAACACAACATAGTATGAAAATAGCAGAAAATAACAAACTAAAATTTGGGAGAAAACTAATGATTAGAGGGAGAAAGGAAATGACATATTTATCAAAACTTTAATGAAAAATATTATGAAAGAAATTAAAAAAAATTTTTTGAATACCTTTCATTTTAGAAACTGATGAACTGCGTCAAAAATTGATGAACTGCAGCAAGACGAAAATCAGATATTAGAAATTGATTTATAGAAATATAGCAATCAAAACAAAAGAAATAAAACAATTAATCAAAGTACTATAATGTTTGTACAGGATCATTTTCTACAGGATCATTTTTAGATAACTTTATTTTTTTAACACAAATAAAATAAAATAAATAAATACAGAAGTGAATAGCTGAAACAAACATTAAGGGTTGAAAGTGAAACCACCTTCTTCTTCACTTATGAGGTACCATTATGCATAATCATCTAATTAAAAGTATAAAGCAGGTTTAAACTGCTTCAAGCATAAAGTAAGTTTATGTCATCACGCATTACTCCAAGATGACTAACTAATAGCATAGATAGTCTACTGAATTAATGTAGTTCGAAAACTAAATATTTGAAAAAAAATCAAAACGGCCAATTGGCTTAAAACTGACTTTTGTTACTCTAGACCTCTTTATTGTTTTTTTTTTTTTTTTTCTAAACCTCATTGAGCCAATCTCAGCATTGTTTAACTGGAAAAGTTGAAAGCATAATTTGTTTTATTTTTTTTATCAGAACTTACAATCCTCACTCTGAAAGTAAAATAAAAAATGAGAGGAAAAGAAGAAAGAAAAAAAAAAAAGAAAGAAAAAAAGAAAAGAATAGGCTGTAATAACCCCTATCCGTAATTAGCCACTAATCCGTATTTAATGATGCTAATTGAGTGGATCAAATGAATTATTGGGGTTAGTATGTAAATTGCATGATATTTGGCCTTCTATCTGTTACTTATAGAAATATCTGTTTGGAATTCCACTTTAATATGTAAATTGAAAGCCTTATCAGCATCTGAAACCGAAATTGATTACGTCAATGTGTTATTTGGAATTTTTAGAACCATATGGCAAATTTTATTAAAAATTGATTCAGTCTGATTCGTTAAGTCATATTTGGTTAGCCTAATATTCTAATTAATGTGTTTTAGCACCTTAATCATATATATGAGATATAAGCTCATTTGAGCTCATTCTATTTTATCCCTTGAGTGGAAAATTTTGAGAATTCATTTTAGAGAGAGAAGGAGCATAACTCTAGAGAGAGATAGGAAGAGATTGTAGAAGAATTGAAGGCTATAGCTTGAATTGATCAGAGATTGTGCTAGAACAAGAGTAATTCAAGACTCTAGGTAAGCTTTTGTCTATTAATTCAAAGAGTTTTGTGTTGCAGACGTGAATTCATGGAGTTGTTCGGATCATTGCATGTAATTTACATATGTTGGTCAAGAAGATGTTGAATTTAGAATTAATTCATGCATGCATGTACATTTTCTTACAAATTGAGCATTAACTCCAAGAATTCTCTCTTGCATGTTTGAAATTCATCTTCATTTAGGGAAATCATCAAGTTTCAAGTTGTTTTGTGGTGTTTGATCATGCTTTGAGAAGTTTAATACAAGAAAAATTCATGCATGTTGTGTTCATGAACATTCATCATATTTTAAGTTGAAATTGTGAGTTTTTAACAAATTCTTGGGCCATGATTTTATGAAATAATTCTTAATTCATTATGTTTTACAAGTTTACTATGTTATCTCAAGTTTTGGGGCCCAAGAGATGTGTTTTGAAGGTTGGAATTCGAGTTTTGAGATTGAAGGTGCAATCTGAAAATTCCAGAATTTGCATCTACGCTCGAGCGTGGGAGTTCACGCTCGAGCGACCACTCTGAGTGCGTGCACTCCGCTCGAGCGACCAAAAGTCTGCTCAAGCGTGAATTGCAAGCTCCCAGAAGTTTCATGTCGTTTACAGATCGCTCGAGCGAAGGAATGTGCGCTTGAGCAACCATTCACATTTTGCACGTCCACTCGAGCGAGGAAAGCTACGCTCGAGCGTGGACCTTATTTTCAGAAAATTTGACTAAGTGTTCCAAGGCATGTTTTGACATCCTCATTGCATCTTAGGCATTCCTAAGCCTTAATTAAGCCATAGTAATGAGGTTATGGATTAGAAACACACTAAGAAAAGAATGTACTAAGTTCCGAGACTGCAAGTGTGTGTGTGTTTTAGGCAATGTGATAAGAAAGAATAAGAACCAATGTAATGAAAGCTAAGCCGTGTTGGCCACATAATGATAAGGCATGCTTGTGTTATGTATTTTGTGATTGTAGGTCAAGACTTGAGGATTGATTGACCATTTACGGGAACCACTGTGAGTAACATTTCTGTAAAGATATGTTGATATGAATTATGTTCCAAATGAAATGTGATAAGCTATGATTTCTGAAATGATATATGTTTACGTGAACGAACATCCCAAGTTTGAAATCTATTATGGCATCCATAGATAGTCCAAAGTCATGGGGGACGGCATGAAAATGCGGGTCCATGACATTCAAGTAATTACGAAATCTCATTAGCCACTTCATTGTGGTGATATGTGTTTAATCGGTATCCGCAACCGATTACTCTAGTCGAAAGACGTTCTGTGATGTGTTCTATGGGATGTACCATTATTATGTTCTGATATGAGGATGATTATGTTGTGGTTTGTTTTCTGCTTATGATATATTCGGATTTCGTTCACTAACCTCTTTACCTTAATGTTATTCATTGGGCTTTAGCTCATTGTGTGTATATATATGTATAGGTGAGCATTCTGGAGCCCGAGCCTGAAGGCTTTTGTCTGGGTCCGTGTTCTGTTGTCAGCCAACCATTGTGCCTCATGTAGAGGTTCCCGAAACGTCCTGTGTTTAAGTTTTGTGGTTTCTGTTTATTTAAGACTTGATTTGATGTCGTTGGCTGTACTTAAAATACTGTAATGTGTGTGGGTATAATGTATGGTTTACTTTTGATTATGTATATAGAGTTTTTAAATATTCCGTTTTATATAAGTCAGCACAGCTCATTGGACAACTATATTTATGTATTAGCTTCCGCTAGCCCCTTAATCTTGTTAATCTATTCAGAGGCCTTCGGTAATCCAAGGATTACTGGCTGGTTATGATGCTAAACCTACAGGGGCGGGTTTGGGTCGTGACAGTCATCTGGGGACCAAGATGGGCAGAGACATAATCAAAGGTCTGACTTGGCTATCTCAAGCTAGGCTTAGAAAGTTGGCCGAGGTGTTAGCAGGGAGACAAGCCGAGCTAAGTATAGCTCGGCAGAACACCATGTACGTTATTATTGTATTAAGAGCACGACAGAAACAAGCCAGCTCGGTTGACCGCTTCGACCGAGCTGAGGTAAGGAGGTTTGAGCTATCTCACTTGGTTGGTAGTGAGTAAGGTATTACCAGGATATATATTATCCTTGGGAGTGTGAGTCCTAGGAGGGTTCTACTAAGGAGAATAAGAGTCCTACTAGGATTGTGCCAGGTAGAATATATAAAAGCTTGTGGTAGGACCTATGTACAAGTATGAGAATTCTGACTCTGAAATACACTGAGCTTTTGTGTCTATTGTCTACTTGCTGACTTTGGCATCGGAGAGGTTCCTGACACACACCCGCCGGCTAGCTCACATTTGTGTCTTCAGGTAGCAAAACGACGACGTTTGGAAGAGTACAAACTTGATCAACAGGATTATACGAGAAGATTATTTCGTGCTCGTATATGTATGATATAATATTAACGATTCAAATAAGATGCATCTTATGGTTGAAGAATTAAATTATTTCTTATAACTCGCATTCATTCATTCAAATTTTGCCCATTGATCAATTAAAATTATTTTTATAAAAAATTATTCCAAACTATTTTATTTATTTATTTATAATTTGTACCTAATGTGTAAGAATTTTAGAGAGCCAATTGCATTTCTAATCGTCTTTCTTGGTGAAATTGTCAAAAATTACGAACATTGTATTGGACATTTAAGTTGTAGTTCGTATAATCTTTTCATTTTAAACTATCTGTTGCAAAATGAATCTTATTATGTTTTGATATCTTATTAAGATTACAGATTTAGTTTTGTTATCTTAATTAACCTTAATTTTACCTTATAATACATGTCAAAATATTATGTTAAGTTGGGGGTTTCAAAACAAGTCAATCTTAGCTAAGCTAGAATTATAAATATTTTATGTTAATCAGTTCAACTTTAAATGCATAGCTTAACATTTTCTCTATAGCTTAGTCATTTTTATGATGAAGTAACATTTACATAAAAAGCTAGCAAATAGACTCAATAAGTTAATTTTAGGTATCAAAAAATTATCATAAAATTTCATTTTATGAAGTACTTTATTATTATATGCAAGTTAATCATTTTTGAATAATAATTATAAATTTATTTACCTATAAGTTTTTTAATAAATTTGTTATGACTTCATATAAGTCATTTTTAAGTGTAAACTATAAAAGAGTAATATTGGGACTTTAAAAAAATTATCAAATATTTTACACAATACTCACATGAAAATGATCAATATGAGTATTGTATAAAATATTTAGTAATTTATTTAAAATTTTTAACATTTTTAAATTTAAAACTACATTCTATTTTTCAAGGAAAATCTTTTTAAAAAAAAATATTTTTTTTAAACCATGCATAGTACGGATGTGCTGCTAATTATATAATAACTCCATTAACAATCTTAAGATAACAAATTTTAATAATTTAAGGTGATTATTATTTAAATTTGATAATTTAAATAACTCCATTAACAATCTTAAGATAACAAATTTTAATAATTTAAGGTGATTATTATTTAAATTTGATAATTTAAATTAGAATGATATGTAGTTTGAGAGATTTTTCATTAATTAATAAGAGTAAAAAATTAGAACAATAAAAACTAGTAAAGTTGAGCTGAACTCGGTTTGCCCGATCCACAAGAAAGGGACCTTATATGCAAATACGTACACATTATCTCGATCAACACTCCTCTTTCTCTCTTTCGTCTCCCCAATTTCTTAGGGTTTCTTCGTCTTCAAAACCCTAACCCTAACTTTACATTTGCTTCGATCAAAACTAGAATCGAGACCTATCTGATACCTCCGTCGATTCTTCAAATTGCGTAATTTTCAGGGCGGTGATCATGGCAGCGGCGGCGGCGGCGGCGGCGACGATGGTGAGCTCGGCTGGAGGGCTTTTGGCTATGCTGAACGAGAGCCATCCCTTGCTGAAGCTTCACGCTCTCTCCAATCTCAACGCTTTTGTTGACTCCTTCTGGCCCGAGATATCAACTAGCGTTCCCATCATGTAATTCTTTCAATTCTCTCTCTGTTCTTGCTTTCCTCTTTGTTTTCGTTTCTGTTTGTGAATTGGGTTTTATGTAATAACAAATTTTCTTGATCTGTTTGTGGTGTGAAATTTTCTGCTTGGTTGCTGGGAAACAGGGGAAAATAGAAGAATGTAAAATTTTAATATATATATATATATATATATGCATTTAGAATTAGTGCAACAGTAGCAACAAGATTCCCTTAAAAAGTTAGAAATTTGATTGAATTAAGCTAGGTATCTGTAGTTCCTGTTTTTCTTATGTAACACGTAATGGATGTTCAAAATTTTAACTTTTTTTTCTCCTCTCTTATTGTTTACTTGTTTGAAGTAGATAATGCAGAATCTAGGGTTTGATTTGATGTTTAGGTAAAAATTTGGGTTTCAGAGATATTTCTTATTTGTTACTGTTTCTTAAGAGGAAACGAGCAAGAACTGTTTGGAATATTTTGTGGACATGTTTTTGGCTAGTGAATACTTATAGGGTACCATAAATATGTTTTTTCCTCTGATTACTTCTTCAAACCCAATTCTGTATGATGTTTATGTTTTAAATGATGCTTTCTACTCCAGCTTGTGATGAAGTTTTTATGCTTTCCTATTTTGTGTGAATATTGCATATGCAAATCTGTAGTCCTAGTTGACTAATTAAGTAATAGTATTGGAGTATGTTGCCATGTGATTTTCATAGCAATTGTGATATTAGTGGACTACTGATGGTGTAGAATCCAGTTTTAAAATTTTTTTTTATTGTTACTTATCAAAAAAAAGGAATCCATTTTTTAGATTTCTATCAATTTAGTTCTTTGGAAATAAATGTTTGTGTTTATTTCACATGCAGAGAGAGCTTATATGAAGATGAGGAGTTTGATCAAAGACAACTTGCTGCATTGCTTGTTTCAAAGGTCATAATCTTTTTTCTATGTATTCCTCCTTTGTGTTTAGCGACCATCGTCCCTCTTCTATATTATGATCACTTACTTTCCTGGTATAGAAAAAAGATAATTTTCTTCAATTTTGGTTTTTATGATCATTTCGGTTGCCAAGGTTTTCTTTCCTTCTTGCCTGAATAGGTGTAGTGCGATCTCCTAACCATATATATTTATTCTTTCCTTCTAGCGATCAAGTGGGGCATTGATGAAAATTTGTGGTATCCTATTAAATCTTTAGCTCAGATGTGTGAGATTTGAAAATTGATGTGTGTAGTGTATTCCTTTAACACGTAAATTTTGTGTTTCAAATTCAGAGGGGCTGCAAACAAAAGATTTCTTTATATAAAGCTGCCCAAGTTAGCTATGTATGTTGGGGGTTGGATATAATCACATTTGAACTCTGAATCAGCCAGGGAGAGATAGGGATATAACATTCTATTTACATTGCCATGATTATAGGAGTTTTTGTATAATGAGGAATTATGATTTTAATAGGATTTTATTTCTTTATTAGTTAAATCTCTTATTCCTTCTGGGCTTCCTAATTACATAGTGCTTATGCTTATATATATGGTTTTTATGTAATGTTTTCTTAGATTATATATGATATGATTGGCTATGGGTTCCTCATTTTTTATATTCTTATTTTTCTCTTCTTGGTGCTGCATCACAACCCCTAATAGAAATCAAACCCATATATGGCAATCTGGCTTTGAAGTGAGAATGAGAGAGAAACCCAATGTCAAAGTGAGAATGTGAGAGAAGCTGAAGTGAGAACGAGACCGGTTGACACTGATTCATGTGTGTCAACTCCATCATCTTCATGAAGTGAAATCAAAAGAAGCGTGAAGATAAGATTTGAAATCTCAATGTTAGCAACTCCACAATTTGCATCCTTATAGCAATTGAAAAGAGTGCTAGAGGGCCACCAAGTGAATGCCATGCAAAGAAAAGGATGTGATTCCATTGAGAAACACCATGGAAATTAGAAGTTCAACAAGAGCAATTCCATATAACAGCAGGCCACAACATTATGTCTTTTTTGAGTGTGGAGAGAACTGAGCATGTAATAGAGATCTTTTGATAGTGTTAGTACCTTGAATGGATATTGTAGGCATGCAAATTTTAGCTCATTACAAATTGGCATGTGTTGCAAATGCCTATAAATATGACATAATTATTGGCAAATTAAATAATGCCATGTGTTTATAAGTGTCCTATGTAAACAAAATTTAGCCAATTCCAATTTAATTACTCATTCCACCTCATCACCATTCTTAAAAGTGTCCTATGTAAACAAACAGTTTTATTAATTAAAATGAAGAAGAGCTAGTGATAAGAATGCGATACTGGTCTCTGTTCAATATTGGTAATTATTGTGATGTACACGCGTATTCATGTGGGTATTGATGAATATTATGGATTGTATCTGGAGTGTGTTATCAAAGGAGGGAGACACATTGGATGTGACAATTCACTCAATCATTCAATCTGTTCAGATGTTTTCATCCCTGGTGTAGTGAGTTTCTGCATTCTTGGTTTCTCTAATCTTTGCAACCACAATATATCTTAGTACTCTTTTTTTATTTTTTTATTTTTATTTTTATTTTTATTTTAATTATCAGTAACTTACAATAGATTACTTGCATGTGAAGATAAAACCTGAAATCAGAGGCTATCGCTTGTTAGTCCTTGAGACATTTAATTAATTTACTTTTATCTTGTTTACACAAATTCCTTTATTTCTTTTGTCAGGTTTTCTATTACTTGGGTGAACTTAATGACTCATTGTCATATGCTCTTGGTGCTGGTCCAATGTTTGATGTTTCTGAGGATTCAGATTATGTCCATACCCTACTGGGTAAGAATTTTCACATTCCATTTGTTATTTTCCAACATGAAAAGAATTATATGAATGTAAATTACGGCCTTTCACTGTAATCTTACTAATTGTTGCTGTCATGTTCTTTCTTCACTCAGCTAAAGCTATTGATGAATATGCCAGCGTCAAGTCAAAGGCAGCAGAGTCAAATGATGAAGCAGACAAAATGGACCCTCGTTTGGAGGCAATTGTGGAGAGAATGTTGGATAAGTATGTAAATTTCACCTCCTCTTCAATGTAATGACGCCTTTTTCCAATTTTCTTACCATTGCTGTATATAGGTGTATCCTGGATGGAAAGTATCAACAAGCTATCGGAATGGCAATTGAATGCAGACGATTGGATAAGCTTGAGGAAGCAATTATGAAGAGTGATAATATTCATGCAACCCTATCATATTGCATTAACATCTCTCATTCCTTTGTTAATCTGAGAGAATATCGCCATGAGGTATGGATAATGTTCTTGCTTGTCTAATTTAGAGAGCTATGTCCATATCCTGAAATAGCATATTTTCTGTAAACATTTTTTATGATTTCCCACAATAGTTAATTTCTAGTTGTCATGATTGGTATATTTATTTATGACAATTTAGTTCTTCATCCAGGTTACCTTTCTTGTTTTAATTTGAAATAGAAAATTTTCTGCTAGACTTAATTATGTTTAAATATTGTACCAATCTAATGACAACTGTTGTTGCCATGTTGGTTTCCGCATTCAAGTTCCTTGGGCCGGCCTATGTGCATTCAGAAACTTTATTTATAAAATTAAACAGGATTTTATGACGTCATTAAGATTGACAGGCTTAACCAGTCCTCTCAATGAAATTTTTCGTTACCTGAACAAGATTTTAAACATACAAGTTGTCACAAGGTTGTCAAGGTTGATTGTATCGTTGTTGCGGTACCCTTAACGGTTTGTGTGACTTGATTTAATCATCCATCGAGAACAGAGGTTGTTTTTGTTTAGCTCTCCGGTTTTGCATCTGTTAATTTTCATGGCCTTTCATCATAGGTACTATGTTCTCTTGTATTTTACATGTTTATATTACTTATCAACAAAGAAAGAAAAAAAAAAAAAAAAAAAAAAAAAGAAAGAAAAAGGGAGAAGATAAATTGTTATTATCCTTGTTTCATAGCCCATATAACATATTGGCAGTTGATTGTTGAGGACAGATGAAAGAATATTTTGCAGGAAAGAGGCAATTGTGATTTTGGAGACATTCATATACTAATCCTCTGTCAATTGTGTACAGGTTCTTCGTCTTCTTGTTAAAGTATACAAGAAGCTTCCATCACCCGATTATTTGAGCATTTGTCAATGCCTTATGTTCTTGGATGAACCAGAGGGTGTTGTGAGCATTTTGGAAACGCTCCTACGATCTGAAAATAAGGATGATGCTCTGCTGGCATTGCAAATAGCTTTCGATCTTGTAGAGAATGAGCACCAAGCTTTTCTATTGAATGTGAGAAATCTGCTTTCCAGTGCCAAGTCTCAACCATCAGAACCTGCACAGCAAGGACCTGCTGCAGCTGAGTCTGGTCAAAACATAATTGCTACTGCATCTGAGGATGTTCAAATGACAGATGGAACTCAAGCTTCTAATGTGAATGTGCAAGAAGCAGATCCAAAAGAAGTGACCTATGCTGAGAGGCTAACAAAAATAAAAGGAATTTTGTCTGGAGAGACTTCAATACAGTTGACTCTACAATTTTTATACAGTCATAACAAGTGAGACAACAGATAATTTCCAGCTCGTTATTTATTCTGCTTTGCTCAAATTCAATTTTTAGGAGTTCCATTTATGTATTGTGAAAAGCTTTTTTCATTAATTTTATAATTTGCATATAGGTCGGATCTTCTTATTCTCAAGACAATAAAGCAGTCTGTGGAGCCGAGAAATAGTGTCTGCCACAGTGCAACAATATATGCTAATGCAATTATGCATGCTGGGACAACTGTGGATACATTTCTCCGTGAGAATCTGGTAAATCAACATTCCACTTTCATTCTCTTAATAAACCTTTATTGTTACACAACTTTACAGACTTTATTCATATTTTCTGAAGCTCCTTGTCTGTGAAAACTCATCAGGATTGGCTGGGCAGGGCTACTAATTGGGCTAAATTCAGTGCAACAGCAGGGCTAGGTGTTATTCACAGAGGCCACCTGCAACAGGGCAGATCGCTGATGGCTCCTTACTTGCCACAGAGTGGGGCTGGTGGTGGTGGCAGTCCATACTCTGAAGGCGGTGCTCTCTATGCCCTAGGCTTGATTCATGCAAACCATGGGGAGGGTATCAAACAATTTCTTCGTGATAGCCTACGCAGTACCAACGTTGAGGTGCTTGCTTTCTACAATCTATTGTTTGGTTGCTTTTGTGCGCCATGAATTTCTGTTATAATAGTGGTTTTGGAAACTTTGATTGGTGCAGGTTATTCAGCATGGTGCATGCTTGGGTCTGGGCTTGGCAGCTCTTGGAACTGCTGATGAAGATATCTATGACGACGTAAAAACTGTGCTTTATACTGATAGTGCCGTTGCTGGAGAAGCTGCTGGTATCAGTATGGGCTTACTGATGGTTGGAACTGCAAGTGAGAAAGCCGGTGAAATGCTTGCTTATGCTCATGAGACACAGCATGAGAAAATCATTAGGTAAATTTGTGTTCAGTGATCTAGGTGTTGGACTACTATTTAAATTATATATTCCTTAGGGTTTATTTAATGATTCCTTATTGCAGAGGTTTGGCATTGGGGATAGCTCTCACAGTCTATGGAAGAGAGGAAGAGGCAGATACACTAATTGAGCAGATGACTCGGGACCAAGATCCTATTCTACGTTATGGTGGTATGTATGCGTTGGCATTGGCATACAGTGGAACTGCAAACAATAAGGCCATCCGTCAGCTGCTGCATTTTGCGGTATCAGATGTAAGTGACGATGTCAGGAGGACGGCTGTTCTAGCTCTTGGGTTTGTCTTGTACTCTGAACCAGAACAGGTTGGCACTTTTTCTTTATTATTGTTTTGCCAAGTATCTGGTCTTGTGATTGCTGTCCTCAATGTAATATTTTATGGTTTCGGCCATCAGCAATAGATTTTCTGTGATGACATTTGCTGTATATGCATGCCAACTTTTTTTTTTTTTTTCTGTGCGCGCGACTGTAGTGCAATGTTATTTGGTTACTGTTGAGATTATCCAATTCATACCTGTTTTCAATTGTCACCAATAGCTTGTCGTTTTTTTCCCTTTCTTGGCATTTGCATAAGCACTGCTGTTTGTGTGACTGCAAATATCAAATTTATTTGGCTCCTTTGGTAGATTTACCTAATTCATAGTTGGATTATCTGCTTCCCCTTGAACTTGGTCTCACTACATGTGTCCTGCAGACTCCTCGCATTGTATCCCTTCTGTCCGAGTCTTACAACCCACATGTTCGGTATGGAGCGGCACTTGCAGTAGGCATCTCCTGTGCGGGTACTGGCTTGAGTGAGGCCATATCTTTGCTAGAGCCTCTAACATCAGATGTAGTTGATTTTGTTCGTCAAGGTGCTTTAATTGCTATGGCTATGGTGATGGTTCAGATCAGTGAAGCTAGTGATTCTCGTGTTGGAGCATTCAGGTCCTGTACCCTTTACTATTTTTTTCTTCTTTTTTGTTTCCTTGTATCTTTCTTCTGCTTATTGTTTCAGTCATTTGTTATTTCAGGCGACAGTTGGAGAAAATAATTTTGGATAAGCATGAAGACACCATGAGCAAGATGGGAGCAATTTTGGCCTCTGGAATACTTGATGCTGGTGGAAGGAATGTGACAATAAAGTTGCTTTCCAAGACAAAACACGATAAAATCACTGCAGTTGTTGGTCTTGCTGTTTTCAGCCAGTTTTGGTATTGGTATCCCCTTATCTATTTCATTAGCTTGTCATTTTCACCCACGGCCTTTATTGGGCTGAATTATGACTTGAAAGTTCCAAGATTTGAGTTCTTATCACATGCAAAACCATCACTGTTTGAGTATCCTCGGCCGACTTCTGCACCTACTACTACCTCAGCTGCGAAACTTCCTACTGCAGTTTTATCAACATCTGCAAAAGCCAAGGCTAGGGCTACTAAAAAAGAGGCAGATCAGAAAGGTATCACTGAAAAGTCATCTGGGGCAGAGTTGTCTTCTGCTGGCTCAAATACTGGAAAAGGGAAATCCTCCGGTGATAAGGATGGAGACTCTATGCAGGTAAATACCGTCTCTCTTTCAGTAACAAAGATGTCTAAATAATATTTCCGATATCGTTCATTTGGCATTACAAGCTTCGACACCCCCATCTCATTAGATTCAATAATTGTGTTCGTTACACAAAACCGACATGGAAGTCGAGTTTTGAATGTTATTGTCCTTCACCCATCACGTCAGTACATTGTTTGATAACATCAGGGTGTTGGTGGTAAAAGTAATTTTTATGAGATATAGAACATCAAAAACTATTTATGAGTTGTCGTTATACTATTTTACACTGCTGAAATTGGCGCTCTTACTCAGGTTCAACTACTCATTTTCCTTTATTTTATTTTATTTTTGGGTCCCCCAGGTCGATAGTCTCACAGAGAAAAAGGCAGAGCCTGAATCATCTTTTGAAATTTTGACTAACCCTGCCAGGGTGGTTCCTGCTCAGGAGAAGTTCATTAAATTTCTGGAAGATAGCAGATACGCGCCAGTGAAGTTAGCGCCTTCAGGATTTTCTCTATTGAAAGACCTACGTCCAACTGAACCCGAAGTGTTGTCTCTCACTGATGCGCCCTCATCAACTGCAGCAGCTGCTGCTGCTGGTGGATCGACAACCGGACAACAGGGCTCAGCTTCAGCCATGGCTGTTGACGAGGAGCCTCAACCTCCTCAGCCGTTTGAATACACCTCGTGATTTTGGTCTTCCAACTAAATACTTTGCTTGGGCAGAGTGTGAGTTCGAGGGTAGTGATGTAGAGAAAGAAACTGGTCTGGACAACTACTCATTATCCTGTGATGTTATGGCCAACTTCTGGCGATTCTGCAGGCATTTCTAATCTCTTGGTCATTGTGGATTATCGTTATGCTCTTCAATTTATACATTTAGAAATGGAGATGAAAGGGAAATGCATACTGCAATTTGCCTGTAACTTTGGAAACTGCTCATCATGTCTGGTGCTGAACTAGTTAAATGCCTGGGCTGTTGCAACTGTAGCTTCACTCATTTACTCTCCCATTGAAGAAAAAAAAAATTGTGAACTTGCTAAATTTTTATTTTAGTTTTAAGAAGCCTGTATTTAATCAACATTCTTGAGCTAGATATGTTATTTTCTTGTTTGTTCTCTTTGAGATCATTTCCCTATGGGTTATTAGCAGGGATTTCAACTTGGGTGGATTCGGTTGGGTCGAGGGTTTAAAGACGGGATCTGTTCAAGTTCGATCTTAGCTCGACATCTAGCTTGAACTTGCTTGCTCAAGCTTGAGCCATTGCTTGTTGAGCCATGCAATTGAATAGGTAAATCAGGCTATGTTTATCTCCATTGGCTTGCTTTCTAGTAGCCTTGGGGGGAGGGTGTTGCAACTTATAGGGCTGCTGGAGTGTTTGCTGCAGCAGCTCGTGAAGCTGGAATAACTTGAATAAGTTAAAAAAAAAATTGATTATTGAGTGGCAAATAAATTGGTGTTTTTGAACTACTTGCTTATGAATTTTAACTTGTAAGAAGCTAACATCAAATAAGCTCAAAGCAGCGATCCTCTCTAATCAGCTTAAAATGTGATACATATTTAGCAAGGTAGCCCGCAACAAAATTAGCTTCATTGGAGGCGAACCAAAAAGATACACTAAAAACTACTATCTTCTAGTTTGTAGTTTGCCTGCTAATTAGGGGTCTGACTTAGGTGGGTTCAATCTGAGTAACCTGAATTCAGTTTAAATTTTTTTAGAATTTGAACAAGATATTTTTAAATTCTGTACGGGTTTGGATAAAAATTTAAAAGTTCGGATTAAATTTGGTGGACTTGAGCAAAAACATCAAACAATCCGAGCAACTCGAAACCTGAATTATACATACATAGATATATATAAAAATATTAAATATACATAAAAATTATTAGTCATTATATGATATTAAAATAATTTAGATTATTAAATCATATTGAATATATATTATATATACAAATAACATAAAATCTTACTTTTTTTTATTTTCACTCATAAATTGTAAAGGTTACTATAGCGGCATCTCTCTTATATTATATAAATTATTTGTTTTGATGGTTTTAGTGATTTTTTATATAAAAAAATATAAATAGAGTCGAATTTTAATAATTTAATAATGTAACTGCAAAAAAAAAAAAAAAAAAAAAAAAAACTGAAATTCATTTACAATTCGGACAATTCGGGTTTAACTCATGTCGGTCTTGAGCAGGCAATCTCGGGTTACAATTCGGGCCTGGGCAGGCCAGGCAGGTGTCAACACAACTTAAGTTAAGATTGGACAACCTCCCGACTCAACCGAACCCGCCCAAATTGCATCCCTACTACTGATGTCATGCAATGTTTTCCATAAGTCAGGTTCAATTATTAGCCATAAGAATTTAGCTTTCATGTAAACATTTTTTGTTCAAAATTTTAATAAGTGATGAAAGAACTATAATAAAATGCAAATTAAAGTCTAAAAACAAACTTTTGTTTGGCATAAAAAGTTTAGGTTAAAATAACTATAAAAAGACAAAATAGACTAAAAAATCAATAAGACAAAACGTCACATCTAAACCATAATCATTTCATTTTTTCTCTCACAAAAGTCAAAAAGCCTATCCCAAAAGAAGCTTTTTAATCCCAAGCTACAAAAGTCAAAAAGTCAACCCACATCTCAAACGAATGCTTTTTAACTCCATGCTAAAAAAGTTAAAAAGTCAATCCACATCCCAAATGAAGACTAAATTCAACCTTTATTATTGCAATTAAAAGATGAAAGACAAATGAAGTTCGAATGAAAATTCAAGAGTGAAAATTGTAATCTATCCATTTTAATTCGAATTTCTTTTGTCTTTCATCTTTTAATTGCAATAATTTACCAACTTTGTGATTACATTTTCTCCTTACACCCTTCATATTCTTCTCTCTCTTTCTCTGATTTTTCTCTCATTCTTCTTCTTTCTTTGATCTATGGATTCAAGGTTGGGTGGGGGCAACAATGGTTGAAGTAAAAAGAGAAGGGTCGCAGTGGTCGTTGAAGAGGGGAGGGGTGGCAAATTCGGGGAAGAGGGTGGCAGAGAGGGGTTGGGGGGTTGAAGAAGAAGAGGAGGTAGGCAATTAATGGGGAAGGGGCCTGAGGCAGCAGGTGGCAGGTAGAGAAATCAGGATTCTAAAATTTTTAAATTTTTTTGTTCAAAAAAAAAAAAAAAAGATTTTTGAGTCCTTAATGATAATTTTACATAGAGATGAAATTATAATAAAAAAATAAAAATGAAAAATGTAAAAAATGCAATGAAATATTTTTGTAACGGAAATAAAAACATTCCAAATTGACACAAGAGGCATGTATAATATAATTTAACCCTACAATAATCATTTTCCATCCATAAGCAACGTATGAGCTTTAAGAGAATTGATTTGACCAATTTAAATCGGATCAAATATGATATAATATAACATTTGAGTCCCATTATCTGGATGGTGCATTTGTGAATTTCACGAGAGGAAAATTTTAAAATCACATAGTCAAAACTGGTTAGATTGTGGGCTGTGGACTGGATCAAGATCAAATGGTATTATTATATCTCATTTTTTTGAAAACATTCAAAGTTCAAACCCTCATCACATGAAAAGCTAAGGTGGTTTATAAAGTTAGTGAAAGAGCGTTGGTGGCCTGTGAATCACATTAATAAAAAGGAGGTGAAAGTGAGGTGAGTGAATTTTGTGAGGTGGAAATTACTCCACCAGGCTCCTCCTCCTCCTCCTCTCTCTCTCTCTCTGAAGTAAAAGCTAGCCCTAATAAGCAACCATGCCCCATTATAGATACATAAGCTCACTACCCATATTTTATTTCAGACCATATTATCAACTTGTATATGGCTGTACCCTAAGCTTCTCCTCTTCATACATCAATACCCCACTTCACTTTCACTGTTGTTTCTCTCACTCCTGTTTTTTTTCTCTTTCTCTCTCCAATAAGGTTAGTATTGCAATTTATACTTGATTGTCCACTACTATTGTTTTAAATATTGGTCGATATCGGAATTTTTTATTTCTCAATATATCAGACAATATCAATAAGTATTGATATATGATTGTATATCATTATTTGAATATGTACAAATTTATGTATTGCTTGTTTTTGTACTATTACCTAATTTTTTAGCTTAAATTACATAATCTTTTAACATATTTTTTTCAATTTACTGGTTGTGAATTCATCAAATTGTAACAGTTTCAGGAGGTGGACCCTAGCTGTGAAATTTCACTAGGTTTGCATGAATTGAGCTCTTGTTTAGGGTTTTTGATAAAAGTAACTTGTATTCACAGTAATGGACAAAGAAGAGAACTACTCGGTATATATAACTCAAAACCCATCATTTTATCGTCTGATATGTTTCTGTTGATAAATCTTTTCATCGGCACCATGGTGTTTTACTCTAAACCTGAATTCTTTCAGGCTGCCTTACCGGGAAATTTCCCAGAACTAGACTATTCCATTGATCATCATCAACATCAACATCAACATCTCATGATGAAGCCAAGGATAGGTGAAACATCGGGCGATAATAGCAATCAAATGGTTGATTACATGCTTAACAATCCTCAACCACAACACATGCCTTCTGGGTTCTGCAGCTCAACTTCTCCCGATAAGTTAAGCTTTGCCGATGTGATGCAATTTGCAGATTTTGGGCCAAAGTTGGGCTTAAATCAAACCAAGATTTCTGAAGAAGAAACTGCGATCGATCCTGTTTATTTCTTGAAGTTTCCTGTTTTGAATGACAAGTTGCAAGATGATGAGCCTCTGATGATTCCTCAAGATGTTGAAGACAATGAAGATAGGTTTAAAGGATTGAGTGTTGAAAGTAGCAAGGCAAGAGAGATAGAACAAGAAGGTGAGAGAGAAGATGAAGAAGCTAGGGGTTCGGAGAATGCATCGGTGGAGCTTAGATTTCTAGGGGAAAACCTTCGAAAGAGCCCGGTAACTGAAGTGATGAAGAACAAGAGAAAGAGGCCAAGAACTATCAAGACAAGCGAGGAAGTTGAGAGCCAAAGGATGACTCACATCGCGGTGGAGAGAAATAGGAGGAAGCAAATGAACGAGCATCTTCGCGTTTTGAGGTCTCTCATGCCCGGTTCATACGTCCAAAGGGTGAGTTTTATCAAAACGCTCTTGCTGCCTATAGGTTGTATAATCATCAGAAATTCTTAAAACAACTTAAAAAATAAGACAAATTTCTTGGTTTTTTTCCTAGTGTCATTCATATGATACTTTATTGCATCATCAAGAAAAACAATAGAGTAAACTTTATGTATAGATCACATGTATATGTCTAGCAACTCCATGGCTGTGTTTGAAATCAGTAGTTGTTGTGCTGAAAATCAGTAATTACAGAAAAGAAATTAAGAATAAGAAAAATTGTGACAAAAATGATCATACCAAGTGACTTATAAAAACATATAGTTGGTTTTGAAGTAAAGCTAAAAATTGGATGGATTTGTTGTGCTATTTCAAAGGGGGATCAAGCATCCATTATTGGAGGAGCAATTGAGTTTGTGAGAGAGCTAGAGCAGCTCCTCCAATGCCTTGAATCACAGAAGAGGAGGAGACTCTATGGAGATCCACCACCGCGGCCACCAACGGGAGACTCCTCCTCTCTTGCAATCCCACAACCTCAACCACCACTCTATCCTCCAGTTTCAATCCCAAATGATCAGCTTAAGCTCATGGAATTTGAGAGCGGACTCCAGGAGGAGATAGCGGAGAGCAAGTCGTGCTTGGCAGATGTGGAAGTGAAGATGCTAGGGTTTGATGCCATGATCAAGATCCTCTCAAGAAGAAGGCCAGGCCAGCTCATAAAAACCATAGCTGCACTTGAAGATTTGCAGCTTAATATCCTCCACACCAACATAACCACTATTGAACAAACTGTGCTCTATTCTTTCAATGTCAAGGTATAATAATATAACACTTTCTCTTTTAAATCTAACACTACATGTATATGTATATATGCGTAGCAATTTTAAATAATAGTACGTACTAAATAAGATCATATATTTTTCAATATCAAACAGTAGCAGACGATACATTTTCGAATATCAATATGAAGACATCAACATTACGACATAGCTGATATCAAAACCCTAGTGTATATCATTTGTATCTTGTTATGTAGGTTGGTAGTGAAGCGAGGTTCACAGCGGAGGACATAGCGAGTTCAGTTCAACAGATATTCAGTTTTATCCATGCAAACAGCACCACCATATGATGCAATCTGCTTCTTGAAATGCAATTTATGTATTCTTCTTCTGCAGATTCTTTCCTTGGATCTGATCAGTACTTGTTCTTTGTGGGTTCTTTTTTTGGTTTCTCTGTAAAACCAAATAGTTACAGCTCTAGTAAGAAACTGATTTTAATGATCATGAACTACTCATTTGTACTCTCTCTCTTCTCTCTCTCACTCTCTGATGTTGGGGACAAGATCTGCAATGGTGTTTGATTGAATTAAAATGAATTTGACAGTATATTAAAGTCAACGAGCACTGTACCTAGTTGGCAGGGGTTGACCTGTCAGAACTCAAATGGGTTGGTGGTATTAGGCTGCAGTGAGATGTTGCCATGCTGGGAGGGTCCCTGTTAGTCCTCTGAGCTTTGGGAAGGTTCAATATCATACACACCCTTCCTGTTCTTTCTTTGCTTCAACTCAATCACTCTTCTTGGTCTTTGATTTGTTGTCCATTTAAATCATGCATATATACAAGGATGGATGGCACATGGGTGGGGTTTTGTCTTCTTCCTCAACACCCAGGCTCAAAGTCTCAAAAGACTAGCCCACTTTACATATATATATATATAGTATACACACATTTTTAGTTCATGGTAAGTACTATACAGTGCATAATTCTAGACCACATTCATGAAAGATTTTTGAGTACCGCCATAAACATTATTAAATATATCAATATATATTAATAAAGACAAGATTTACATATGTGTGAGATTACTTAATATTTTGTCTGGTTAATGTATTTGTTAGTGTCTATAATATTATTTAAAAAAAAAAAAATCACCACTAAATATATGTTGTTGACCTAAAATGTTATTGATTATATTTAAGTTATCTTAATTGATTATGTCTACCATCTATTGTCAAAATTATTTTATGTAATTAATTCTATGGTAAGTTATCTGTAATTTTGTTATGAAATAATTGCATGATAAGGAGAAGCAACCCCAACAAACTATGATTTTTCAGTTCACCTTAATGAAGATCCTACTGTTTCAGCCTATTTATATGATTATAATCAGCACACATGTGTTATTTTATGTAACTAATTGGTTCTCCTTATCAGCACACGTGTTATTTTATGTAACTAATTAGTTTGTCTTGTTTTCATGCACACATGTGAACTTGATGAAGATCCTATTGTTTCAGCCTATTTATATTGTGCTAAAGCCATTTCTGCTGAACTTTCTTGTTGTGGGTCGCCATCTCTCTTCTGTCGAGTTTAACATCTATGTATTCACAGGACTGTGTTCACTACAAAAAATTAAGATTTTAGAAACCATAATTTAGAAATAAAATTATTTTTTAAGAAGCAAATAATTTTATTACAAAAAATGTCGTTACTATATTTTTAACAACAAAAATTGGATATTAGTGATGAAATATTATCCTTTTGAGACTAAATTTTTTGTCTCAAAAAATAAACCATATTGAGACTGAATTATTTTGTCCCTAAAAGTCTATTTATTAGGGACATTTTCAAAATTTTGTTGCTAAATGCCTTGTTCTTGACTTTTCAGGACGACGTTTTAACTATTATCCTCACAATAATAGAAATTGATTCCTAAATATTTTTTACAACAAAATTTTTACTTTTAGAGACCAAAACGTTTGATCTCTAAAACTCTTATATGTTGTAGTGGTTCTTGTTTTGAAAACCTTAATTACCCCCAATGCAGTGCCACTCACACAAATTTGAACCACTATGCATGGTTCATATTGTATGTTTTTTTTTTTCTAAATTTTAAGAAAAATCAGTATAATTTATCCTTTAATAATTGCTATCAAGCGTGTTAATATTACATTTTAATTCAAAACTATAATAGAGTTCTATGACTATTATTAAAATATAAGGAGCTAAAATGAAAATGACTTAAACTATGAGAGAGTAAAGTGGAGTTTGTATTAAAATAAAAATAAATAAATAAAAGAGAAACTTTTTTTCATTCACAATTTATCGTATCGTCTATTAAAATATATCTCACGACACAACATTTAAAATGTTCGCAATCTATTCATTTTCACATTCTTCACATCAAGACACCTTCCCACAATTCTTTCACAATTGACGACTTCCCTTTCCTTACCCCACCTCCACAATTGACCCCTTTCAATCCACCATTTGATCGCCCTCTACTAGCCTTCCAAAATTCAATTCATAACCTCTTTGAGTGGGTTTGGGGCTGGTGTTGGTTTTGAGATTAATTTAGATTTACGAATCAAAAAATTAAATTTTTTTAGGTATCAAAGGGAGAAAATCCTTTTTTTAGGAATTAAAGTGACAGAAGTTTCTATTTTCATACACCAAAAACTCTCAGTTTACAATTTTTTTCAATACACATGCTAAATGAATTTGAAATTTAATATTTTACTCAATAAACAATCTATAATGTCAAAAAATACCCTCACATTTTCAACTTTTAAACCTCAACCCTCACCTTAGCCACCACTTCACACCACCACTACCACCTCTAAATCTAAACATGCCTAGTACCATTCTTTCTAGTGACCAACACCCGCCGCCTCCATTCTGCCATTTTCCGATCCATAACCCCTTCTTTTCTTTTTTCTGTTCTTTTTTTTTCTTCTCTCATACCCTTTCGGAAGCCCTTCACTACTGTCATTCTCCTACCCATCCAAACTCTAAGTCTGACAACAAAGGTTGTAAATAGGGTCACAAGAAAATACACCCGTTCGTGAGCAGACTCAAACTCGGTTCAATAAAAGTTCATTCAAATTCAGTTCATTAAATTTTTTTTACGTTTGATTCAAACTCGTTAAATTTTTAATAAATAAGTTCAAACATACTAAAACTCGGCTCGTAAGCTCGGCTCGTTAATTAGCTCGTTTAATATTTATTATTTATATATTAAATAATGTAAAAATATATATATAAATTAAGATAAATATGTTATTTATATATTTAAAAAATATAAATGTAAATAATAATTAATTATAAATAGTACATTTATATAATAGTAGTAGTAGATATTATTATTTTTGGTAAAATATTGACTTTTTTTAATATGTTTATATATATTGTATATATAATTGTATAATCAAAATTTTAATTTTAATCTCATATGCAACTATGAATTTATAAATTTTTTGATTTATTAAGACTCGTGAACAGGTTTGAATTCGAGTCAAACCTAAGCCAACTCGACTCAAGTTTAATTTATTAAATTTTTATTAAGTTCGAATTCGTTAAAATCTTAACAAATAAACCCAAACAAAATAAAGTTCGGCTCAACTCGGCTCAACTCGACTCATTTACCTCTCTAATTGCAAATGAAAGCATCATAGGTTGCATCGTCGAACCTTAAGCCTAGCATCTTGTTCGGAGGTCGAAAATCGAACAAACGCCAACCATCCAGTAATTGAAAATCAAACTAAAACTACAAGTATGACCATGGTTTTCTAGATGGAAGTCAAAAGTCACAGGGTTAGGATTTAGGAATGGCAGTGTGTCCAATCTATTGAATCTGTTTGGAAAAATGGATTAGGGTGAGTTTAGGACTATTTTAACCACAAAAAGATAAAATAGATTTTTTAGCTTAATAAGACAAAATATTACATCTAACCCATAATTATTATATTATTCTTCTCGCAAAAAGCCAAAAAATTCTTTTCAAACGAGGTTTTTAGCCTCAGGCTAAGCTAACCAAAAAGTCAAAAAGTCAACCTACTTTTCAAACGAACCCAATGTGGTTGGAGGAAGAGGGTGGTAAAATTATTTGACTTGATTGTATGTGTTCCAATTCGATTTTAATAAAAAAAAGTTTGGAAGAGTATTGACAAGATAGGATAAAGTATAAGGGTATGTGGTTTAAAACTGTCAATGTTAAGATTAATGAAATTGTATCATTAAAATAATTTAATTTAAGATCAAAAATTTGTGTGAGAAACCCAAAAAAACTCAACCCATTGCTATCATTTTTATCGATGCTGGAGGAATTGTGGGGAGAGATGGAAATGGCGGGGAAGGAAGTTTGGGTGGTGGCTGGTGGTTATGGATTTAACTAGGGTGTTTGCAAGTGGCTTGTGGATTTGGCTACGATTAAGGTTTGCGATTGCGAAAAATAAGTGTATTATGATAGTTTTACTCTAGAATAAAATTGTAATTAAAAAATAACTAAACGTAAGAATTAAAAAAAAGAATGGAGTGTGAAAATAAACACTTCGCAAAGTGACAAACTAACATTTCTAAATTGTCATTTAATTGTGATGGTACCTAATAATTGAACCAAAGTGCAAAAATAAAAAATAAAAAATAATAATAATAGTAAAAAAAAATATAGGGATCAAAATTGGAGAATTTAAGGACCAAAGTGACAATGACTTGTATTTTAGGGGTGAAAGTGTAATTTAATCTTATGTTTAGGCTTCATTTAGAGACTGTTGACTTTTTGACTATTTTTGAGTTAGACTTTTCGACTTTCGTAAGAAAAAAATAAAATGATTATAGTTTAAATGTGATATTTTATCTTATTAATTTTTTAACTTATTTTGAAAAAATTACTCATAAATCTCATATTGGAAAATGTTGCTCTATCTAGTTCTGAGTGTTTTTTTGTAAACCATTTAGTCTTTTTTATATTTGGTATAATATCTTTGTTTATTATGTTGATCAAGCAATTTCAATCCAATCATTGTGAAATGTACTCACATTTTTTATGAAGCTGATATATATATACGTGCATGTATCTATAGATATGAATGTATATGTGGACGCATTTCTGTGTTTCTTCTTGATTTTTGTGTGTTTTCGCTGAGTTTGATTTGTGAATTGTGTTTTTTTTATTGGTTTTGCAGAGTTCTGGGAAGTCTTCAGTATTGGAGAGTATTGTTGGCAGGGATTTTTTGCCAAGGGGATCAGGTAACGAATTCTTACTGCTATTTTATTATTGGATCTTTATTTTTTTGATAGTTTTGATTTTGATTAAAAGTTTGTTTGGTTGCTGACAAAATTAAAAAATGAAAATCAAAGGCAAGTCCTTAGTTTGTTTTGGTTGTGGAGTCTGGACATTTTGTATTTGAAATCGTTTTGATTCTGTTGTTAAATGAATGGATTCCTTTTAACTTTTTTATTTTTTATTTTTGGATTTTAACCTTGTTTGGTTTTGATGATTTATTTTTTGAAAATTAAGTTTTTTTATTTGTTTGTTTGTTTGTTTTTTCAGTGATTTTTTTGTTTGTTCATATTTTTTGAAATTGCTTGATATTTATACAATATAATAGAACGTTGCTGATGTTTGATGATTTTGATGATGTTTGTTTTGATAAAAACATGTGAACAGAACGTTGCTGATCTTTGATAACGTTGTGATGTTTGTTTTGATAAAAAAATATGAACAAAACGTTGCTGATGTTTGATAACATTGTGATGTTTGTTTTGATGAAAACATATGACCGGAACGTTGCTGATGTTTGATGAT